CGACTGCTGAGGGAAGGGAAAAAAGCCGTTATAGTTCCTATCAAAAAATCAGGGCAAGTGGATGGATCTCCCAATAATTATAGGCCCTTTGCTCTGACATGTATATCCTGCAAAGTTATGGGAAAAAATGGTCCAGAAACGATTGCTTGATCATCTTGACAATCGTGACCTTTTCCCAAAGAAACAGTATCGATTCAGAAGGGATCACAGTGCAACAGATCAGTTTCTCTGTCTCTGCCAGAAGATTAGAGATGCTCAAAACCTGCGTCTGACAAATCATAAAGTGGCTGCTTTTCTGGACCTGTCAAAAGCTTTTGACAGGGTGTCGAAACATAAATTGATTGTTAAACTATACAAGGTTTTTGGTATTACTGGAAAGGCTTTATCTTGGATCTATGATTTCTTGAGAGACAGACTGTTCAGAGTGAAGCTCAACACTACCATGTCAAATAGCTTTAAGATGAGTCAAGGCTCAGTGTTGAGCCCTATTCTTTTCTCCCTGTATATGCTGGTGCTTAAAAGGTAATAAAGGAGAGATATGAAGTCAGTATATATGCAGATGATATTGCCCTCTGGAGCTCTAGCTCAGATGTGGACAAAATTGAGTATAATATTAATTTTATCCTAGCAGACATGTGGAACTTTTCCAAAGATCATAAGCTGACTTTTAATCCAACTAAATCTATTGTCAGCTTTTTACTACTAATAAGCAGTTGTATAATTATCAAAAATTTTTAGGGCTGATATACCTCTCAAATTCGAGAAGCATCCTAAATATCTTTGTTTTAACTAAACCCTGAATTTAGCAATAAGCATGTGGAGGTATTAGTGCTGAAGAGTAGGAAATGGCTTAATATACTGAAATATATCTCAGGATGAGATTAGGGTGCTGACATGTTAACTTTAAGAGCTACTTGTTTGGCTATTATCCGTCCAATCATGGAATACGGCCTTCCTGTTTACTGTTGTGCCTCTACAACTAACCTCCAGAAATTGGAGAGAGTGCAGCTTAATGCCTCTCGTGTTCTAACTGGCTTACGTAACAGCTGCCCAAATGATATTGTGTTGTGTGAGATCTTCAGCCTCTGAGTCTAGGAAGGAAGTCAAGCGTAGTGAAGTATTACAATAAACTTGATTGCTATGGTTCCCTAAATCATACCTCGGATTTATTGCAGCATTGGCATAATAATAAAAGACTTAAGAAACACAGCCCGTTTAGTCAGATTGAAAACAGCAACTTACTTGACCCTACGGTAGAACAATTCTTCTTGAAGCTATGCATTGACCCTTCAGTAGGTCTTCCAAGGGTCAGTTTCCATACTGAACTACTGTCGAGGGTCACAAAGAAAAATGATGTGCGGATTTGAATTCGGCAGTTTGCCCTTGAAATTATAAATAACATCCCAAATGGCACTAACTTATGTGTACTGATGGTAGCAAACATGAGGATTCCCACATTGGCAGTGGAGTACTTATCAAAGATCCCAATGGAATTGTCAAAATAAAGAAAAGAATTCCTAACTTTAGCTCAGTTTTCAAAAGTGAACTTTGTGCTATCGATAAGGGACTGAACTATATAATGTCATTTTTAGACCCTAAAGCTATCTGGATTATGACTGATAATTGTAGTGCCATCCAACATGTGTTAAACTGGTGTAACATTGGTGACAAAACTGGAAGTTCAATTCTCATTAAATTAAAACAAGTCTCATCTTCTTGTGATGTGCACATTCAGTGGATTCTCTCACATGTGGACATTTGGAGAAATGAAGAAGCAGACGTCCTGGCAAAGAAGGGCGCTGAGGAGGCTCTGGCTACTTCCAATTCTCTGATTTACCTTGAGCTGTATTCTGCCAGAAAATATACTGATAAAATGACTTGGCTTGTCCCTCCGACACACTCTTGGTACCAGGTTGAATCCCCTGTTGGATGCCTCACTATGAACTGTGAGAGATGCACCCAAACGGCACTCTCCTGCTTTCTTAGTGCCATTTAAGAAGCCTTGCCTTCCAGGGAGGTCAAAAGACACACCCGATTTGTCCGAAATGCAACAATGAGCAGGTTTCTCCGGCACATATCCTTAGGTGTCTGGGTTTGTCCTATGATGACCTAATTAAGTCTCCTATGCTAGTTTATGACTTTTTGAAGGTGAATAAACTTGTAGACCTCGTCTTTCAGAAGCCGGAGACTCGAAGATTAGTAACAAAAACAGCAACAACACACCTTCAGCTGCAGTCAGATTAAATCAGCGTCGATAAAATGTCGGACATAAAATGGCAAGGAGATTAGCTGTCTTATTATTTGATGTTTCCAAAACAACATATATTGATAAAACCGAAACAAATATCGAAAATATTTCATAGTTTCTTTTTATTTCTGGGTCACCCTTATAGGAATTTAATGCCATTTGGGATGTTCTGGGCCACCCTAACTCACTAACACAAAACCTCTTTTTACGTGGTAGATTGGTTACTCAGAAAATTGTGTGAAAATACTCAATGTATAATATATATAGAAAATATTTTACACTTGCATTCTGTCCTAGATTCCGTTTGTGTAGAATCTGCCCGATTCCAACCTAGTAGCAGAAGATAATATTCGAAATGGCATATATACTAACATCTAAGTATTAATTTTAGTGTAATCTCCCATTTGAAGGTTTTTTAAACTGTGCTTCTCAAATAAATAAATAAAAATAAAAATCTAAAAGGTTTCGGATTTTAAATTACATCCAAAGGGGCTTTTTTTTTAACATTTTGTTTTTTACCTTTATTTATTAAATATCACATTCTTTGCACTTAAACCATAAAATTCAGTTCAAGAGCAATATCGCAAAATAGTTTTAAATTGAGCATATCTTTAGAATTTCCAATACAGAGTCTCGTGCACTGGAGATAAAAATGTTTTGTCCTGTACAACGTTGCCATTGCTCACTTTGAAGTCCTTGAGTTTGTTAATCAAAAATTCATTAAAGTTTTACAAAATATGAAATCAATAATAAAACAAATTCCAAATTTGAGCTTCCACATGCCTATTTTTGCAGTAGGATTACGTCATTCAAAATTCGATGGCTCTCTGTACAATGTGAGAAAATATACGTACTTTTATGCAAATTTTTCATTATTTAATTTCTTCAAATATAATGCAGGACTCTAACATTTAGTGGCAACAGTTTCAAAAGTGAAATGGACATTTATAGTGAACCAGCGAAAAATCGCAAAACGAAAACAATAGTCCTTCAGGGACAAAGCTCTTTGGACTTAAAAAATGTGTACTTAGCGATATTCTAAACATGTTAATTCAAACTCGCATAAAAGTAAGCATTGAAAAAAAGAAGTTTTGTTGTATTTTATTCTTTTATTCAATTTTTATATTGAACAAATCATAGAAAAGTTTTGAAATAAATGCTGAGAAAATGTGCTATCAGTTTACAGAACAAATAGATTAAAAAAAGTAATACACAGATACTTACATTATCAGTAATACAATATCAGAAGATTTAGTCGTTTGAAGACTTGACGAAAAAGTGGCCACCACGGGCGCAGCTGAGTTTTAAGTGCAAAACAAAAGAATAGGGAGCCAGTTGAGAGTTACACATGATTTTTAATTTATTATTTACTTGACTATTTACTTCTAGTTGACTATTGTGTTTACTCCCCAGGAATTAATACTGACTGTCACTAGCCTTTTTACATCTCCTGACCAATTAGAGAGAGGCACGTGTTTTTATACATACAATCACAATCCCTTTTTGTGTTATTGCGCCCCCGCACTGGATACTTCCTGCTGAGCAGCTGGTTTGTCTATTTAAATAGTCTATATAAACATCCATGGATGCGAAAAAATATAACCCAGATTGGAATTTTTCTTAAAAAATCATCTATATTTCTAGTTCAATCAACTGAATTAAATCTGTCTTGTACATGTAGTTTCATGCAATATTGAAACACAAAAGTACTAGTGAACATCAAAACTGTAAATACAGAAGCAAAGTACATGTATTGATGATAATAATGTGGTTGACGTTAACTTCGAAAATAGTGATAAGTTTTAACCAACTTATGACAAAATGACTAAGATAAGACTAAGTAACAAAATGACTGAAGATATATCCAAACCGAAATAAACCACTGTTTCTTTGCGGTTCAGTTTCGGGTTTTGTTTCGACTAACAATTTTTTTTTTCTAGTTTTCAGTTCAGTTCCGGTTTGAAATCCTGTTCTGTTATTCAGTAAAATAATTCTAAATACATATTTTATGTATCAAAAGAAAATCTGCTAAATAAAAGACACACAACTGCATTTTTAATGTGTATTCTGGATTTTATTCTATAAAAATAATAAGTAAATTAAAAAAAAGTGTTTTATTTATCAAAATTGTCTTTTAATCTGTTAGAATAAGAACATTCAAGGGAGGGAGAATGTTATAAGATTTTTGATTGGAAAAGTTGAATTGATACAATATGTATGCGTAAATTTAATGTTTATTTTAATAAATGTTTAATTAAACATTGCTAGTTATATATAAAAAGATTGTGGTGTAATTTTTTTAGAAACAACAAATTAGTCATACTGAATTCTTAGATCTAAAAACAATATTCTATTTTTTGTACTTTTTTGTTTTCATTAATGGTATTTATTTACCTTATTCATTAAATATAGATTTTTATGAGCCTAATTATCTGGCAAAAATGGATAGATGTATTTAACTAAATGGTAGTTTTTGTTTTTAAAAACCCACTATTAACTATATTTTTAAAAATTAGCTGTATTAAGGACTGCAGATTAAGAACTACAAACTTCATTTGTATTATCTTTAAAAATATAATGATTGAGAAAAATTGAAAATAATATATTTTTAATTAAAATTTTTATTTACTGTATTTTATCTCTAGTTTATTTATATTTTTCATTTATGAAAATGTAAATTGGTATAATTTTTAAGATGCCATTCAAAATGTATTTTCTGTAAAATTCAAAAGGTCTGAAAATATTTTTTCAGGTGGAAAAAGATGGCTTACCATGATATAATAGTCGATTGTGCTTCAGTTTTTATCGATTCTAGCGAAGGTTCGTTAGAAGGTCTCCGACAGAAAAAGCAGCCATTTGATTCTGTAGCTTTTGGTCAAAGTAGTACTTCCAATCAAGGTATAAACTATTAGTTTTGGCTCATAAACTGTTTAGAAGTATTTCATAATATTATGTATAATATTATGTTTAGAATATTTCATACTATTACAGTATTATATTTAGTATTTGTAGAAAACTGGGCATCAAAGAACATTTTTCTCATAACTGTTGCTTTCCCTGTTTTCTTGAAATGAATTGAATTGAGTTGAATGTTAGAAATAAGAACAAGAGAATTTTATGTGTAAAAAAATCTTAATGTGTTGTGTTAAATCTTAATGTAGTCTCATTTATATAATAATAAGTTTATTAAAGTTTCTTCGCTACCACAAGTATTGTCTGCATAAACAGTTCACGTTGGCATGTTTTATCATATTTTGACAAACAATTTTTGGCATTTGAAAAAAAAAATACTTTCTTTAGAACACCGTGTTGTTAAATTTGTAAAAAAGTATCATTAAGTACAAGGTGTCTGGAATGGAAGTATCACGCTCCCAGATTAGAACCATCATTTACTTCCATTTTTTATTGCAAAAAGTGTTGTTCAGAGGCCCATATTTAGAGTAAAGAAGCCATCGACTTAGGACATTTATTTACACGAATAATGAATAAAATAACAGCAAATCATATTGACCATGACACTGCATTAGTCAATCAGCATCTCTGATGCTCGAATGACGTATGTGTCAGGAGAAGAGACAGCTGTGCCAGCATAAGTAATACGCATGAGCACTCACCTCTACCCAACATACTCCTCCTACAAGTAACATTTTTTCAATACAAAAATGAAATGCAAACAATACATAACACATTACATTAAGAAATTAAGGAAATTATTTTCAATGTATACATTAATTTTTCTTCACTGATACTCTTAGTAAGAAAATCTGCAATCATATTATCAGTTTGTGAATATTCCATCTTAATGACATTGTCCTTTATTAAGTCCTTCATAAAACGGAAACGTAAGTTCATGTGTTTGGATTTCGTAGAAGATCTGGCATAGTTGATCCGCTGGATAGTAGCTTGACTGTCTGTATTCAAAACCACTGCACCATTCAAAAATTGTTTACATTTTAATTCTTATAATAAATTTACAGTCCATATAACATCCTTACAAATTTCAGAAATAGAAAATAATTCTGCTTTACAAGTAGACAGACTAACACTTCTTTGTTTACGACATTTCCAAGAAATCAATGAATCACCTAGTAAAATAGTACCACCAGAAAATGACTTACCATTTTCTGCATTTCCCCAGCTAGCATCAGCATATGCATTTAAAACTCCAAAATCATTGCTATAGAAAAGTTTTTTATTTTTTGTACCTTTTAAATACCTTAATACCCTTTTAGCAAAAAGATAATGCCTTTTTTCTGGTACATGATGAAATTGTGACAAATAAGAGGTTACAAAGGCTGTATCAGCACGCTCTCTATTCGCTAAATATAAAAGCTCCTCAATTATTTCCTGATACAAAGTTGTATCAATCTATTCATTTGTACATGAAAAACCTCTATCTGCCCCTTTAACGATTGGCATTTTTACTGTTTTACAATTTTCTAGATTGTGTTTAGTCAATAATGTTCAATATACTCTGTTTGAGACAAACATATACCATTTTCAAGTTTTTCTATTTGCATTCCCAAAAATTTTGAATTAGTATTTTCATGTAGCTCAAATACATTTTTAATTTTAGAAACAATATTTTCAAGCATTTCTTCATTATTACAGAAAGCAGCTAAATCATCAACATGCAAACATAATATAAAAATGGTTTTGGTATCATTATAAATGAATATACAATTATCAGATGCTAATTGTACCAGACCAAGCTTTTCTTATTCAGTTTTTATTTTCATATGCCAATTTCTACCCGATTGAGGTAACCCATAAATACTTTTCTTTAATTTACATACTTTTCCTTCTTCAATCAGTTTTTCATAACCAGGTGGAGGAGTCATATACACATCCTCACTTAAGTCACTGTACAAGTATGCTGTTTTTACATCATAAAATTTAACAGTCAAATTTAATTTAGCTGAAAGTGCAAACAATAATCTAAAACATTCAATGTTTACTACTGGTGAATATGATTCGGCATAATTCTTATTTTTTATTTGATTAAACCCAGCCGCTACTAATCGTGCTTTATATTTTACTTCCCCAGTGTCTCCTTTCTTCAAAATATCCACCCACTTACTTTTTACTAATTTGGTTTTTTGAGGCCTCTCTACTGTTTCCCACACTTCATGTTTATTCTAATTCACTTTCCATCGGGGATTTCCAGTCATACCAATTAGCTCTTTGCTTCTGAAAAATTATTCAGAACATTACTAATTATATTTGAGCCTAGTTGTTTTGATTTGAGTCTCTGGGATGGTCTTAAGGTATTTCATTTCCATATTTATTACTTTTTTCATAGCTATCAGATGTTTGGATTTTATTCCCCCTGTCATCACCCCCACTACAGCGGCTCATGTCGTGGGCGACTTCGAAATTTAATGAGTCATCATATTCGCTTGCTTGAGTATTTTCTGTAACAACCATTTCGAGGTGTGGTTTTGATCTACTTCGTTTCCCCTTCCTTTTATTTCAATATCCCAGTTTCTAGGTTTTATTTTCCCCATATAAATTCTTTTAAAGATTAGTTAAAAAATTAACGATTGTTCTTCAATTATTTTTATTATTGCTATATCATAAATACGAATCCTTTCTTTCTCTACATTATCCTCTTTTTGTGGTGGTATATCAAATTTGTTTCCCATTACTTTTGGAATGTGGAAGTATGCCCACCATCCAAACGTTTTTAGATAAATTAATTTGAGTTTCTTACCAGTCCAGATTTCTAAAGGAATTTTTTCTTTTCTTTTCTGGGGTTTAATTTGATACTTGAGTACTAAAATTAATTGCTTCTGCCCAGAATTTTACCGGAAGCTCACTCTCATGTGGTAATGTCCTAGCCCTTTCCAAAAGAACTCTGTTTGCCTGTTCAGCTTTACCATTACTTTCACTGTTACATGGAATTTTTTTTTTTTTTTTTTTTTTTTTTGTTAAAATACTATAATTAGCAATTATCTAATTGTTCCTTAACAAAATTCTAAACATTCTGTTCTCAAACTTTAATTCTTTTACCAGTTAAATTTTCATATTAGCTTTTAAATTTAGAAAATGCATCAAATATGTCGTTTTATACTTTTAAGAAAATAAGTAAAATACATTCCAGAAAAATCATCCACAAATATATATTAGATCCACATAAAATATTTGACCCAATTGATTCAGTATGAAAAAGGGCCCACAATCTGAATGAATCAATTCTAAAATTTCTGAACTTGATTAATGTCAATTTGGATGCTTTTCTAGTTATTTTTTAGTCACAAGTTTCACAAAACAACACTTACATCATTATCATATTTTTCATTTTTAAGCATATATTTTGATTTAAATGGCACAATCTACTATGCCAAATTTCATAATTATTACCAGTACAATCATAGCGATGACCATTAGAATTATAATATGGTTCTAAATTAACTTTAAGCCTACCGTTATTCTAAATGCTTTAAAAGTAATTTTACACCTACTAAAACTAATACAGAATTATTCCTTGATTCAATTTTACATCCTTTATCCATTAATGCAGTAAGTGACAATAAATTATTTCTGAAATCAGGAATATAACTAACATTACTAATAGTTAAATTAACAGAACTAGAATTCTTTGAACTTATAGTTTTTGCTTTAAAAGTACCACTACCTTCTGAAAATATTTTTGAATGTTTACCTGCCTGGTAAATCTCCCTCACCTCTGATGTAATATTCTGAAACCAAAATGTGTCCAGTTGCACCACTATCCAGCAACCAAATTTTGACACATTCATAATTTCTTCCATGCGTAAGTTGAAGAGCGAAATCACTTTCTCTTTCATCAGAATGAGATGAAACGTTTACACTTGTAGGTTGCGATTTCTTTCTTTGTTACCTTGGATAACTCACTTTTTGGATCCTTATTTCTGTAGTAGCAATCTTTCGTGATGTGACCAGGCTGTCAGCAAATGTAACAAATTCTTGAATTATAGTTTTTATTTCTCCTTGATATGAACGCCTCAGCACTGGTTCCATCAGGTCGTTTTCTGTTTGTTGAACTGTGTGTAGATTCTTCCTCGCGGAGTGTTTCACGTACTTCATCAATTGTTTTTTCATGCTGAATTTTTACAATTTCCTTAATTCGAGAGAATTTTCCATGAAGTCCACGGACTGTGTAAAACACCAATTCCCGCCGAGGAGATACTTCTAGCCCTAGTGATTGGCACTTAGTTGCTATTCCTCTTGCTCTTGTGATATAATCATTTACCGATTCATGCAACTTCATTTCTAAATTTTTTAATTCATTACCAGCATCTGTTTTGTGATCTTTGGGAAGAAAGGAAATCAACATTTTCTTCCATAAATTTTGATTTTATTTCTTCCCAAAGAATTTTTGCATTCTCTTCTGTGGAGAACTGAAGCGCCTGTTGATCCAATAGTGAAAGTTTTATATACGCTATGGCGTCAGCGTTTTTCTCATTCCACAATCTTTCATCTTTTTCATCCAAGTTTTCCGGTTTTATAGTTGAAATTACTTAGTCAAGTCTTTTCAGTGATAAGGCAGCTTTAATTTTCAATGCCCAGATAAAATAGTTCTTGCCAGTTAATTCGGGAACGTTCCACTTCTCCATTTTTGGTTTCCACTAAGACAGTTTTGGTTTTTACTTGGTACTGTTTTATATCCAATTCTTCTTGATATAACCATGGACCTGCTACCATTTGTTGTTCAGAGGCCCATATTTAGAGTAAAAAAGCCATCAATTTAGGACAACACACTTTATTTACACGAATAATGAATAAAAAGTGCACGCAGCTAATCATATTGACCACCACACAGCATTAGTCTTATCACCAAAAAGTTCACTCGCCTCTACCCAACAAAAAGTAAAATTATATCATATGACACTGTGAAGATTTGGTACTGAAAATTC